AGCGAATCTATTGAAGGTTGCCCCCAAAACCCCAAAACCCCATGAATCAAAGAATAGTTGATATAAGTATTAGAATAATTAAGAAATTAATGCACAAGTTTTAGTATTATTTTCAATCAATTATTTGCTGTGAGACACATTTTTCAATTCATCGATCTAAAAGGAATTCTGAAAGAGAATTGATTTGATAATCATTCAAGATCTAGGACTGTTTACTATCATCTATCTTCTCTACTCGCAGCCCTGAATCAAACTTTCGAGGCTTAGAAACTTATTACTCTAACATTAACTATGAGAGTCTCTTCTCTACTAAACTGACTCTGTCTTAAGTGGATAGTGCTTATTTAGTTAATTTAGTAGTTTAATTTTAGTTTCTTGCTTCGAAGCCATCTGAATGAATAATTTTATCAAACTTATTCTTAATCTCATCTTATGTCATGTTTTGATCTCTTTATAAAACTCTGACACTTCCCTCTATATCCTCAATAATCTGATTCAATCTAGTAGCTAGCTTTTCTGGAATCCCATATATATTACAAATGTCCTCTAACACAAACGGTATTATCATCTTAGCTGTTTCAGATGTGGATTAGAAATCTATAGAGGTTCTTATGAGCCTATTTTTATCATCAATTGGAGAGTCATAGGATACCTCCATACTTATATTTGTACTCTAAGGCACTAAAAATGAATCCATTAGTCCATCCATTGTCATATTTCTTATATTGAAGAAACTTCTTTCATTTTCATCAGAATCTTGAAAATCACTTTTGATTTAAGTTAGGTTACCTAGGAGTTATTCTGAAAAATTCATTATTGTGTTGTAACTCTTCAATAAATTTCTATACTGATCATAGTTCTCTTGCATTTATGTACAGTGCATAAAGCAATCTTAGTCAACTCTTGATTGCTAAACGCATGTCAAGTCATAAACACTACAGACTTTATTTGCATTCACATCCATGTTCTCTTCATCCTCCATAGAGTCATCTGAGGAGACAAATTTGTTTCTGAATCTTTTGCATATTCTCTGATTGAAGCCCATACAAATATTACTCCATTCACCACAGACTTCAATCTCCTCAAGACATTGCCCTTTGAATTCTCTGGCACAGATATTTTCCACCTTAGTACATTTCTACTAAAGATCTGTGCAAATATCTACATATCTAACACATTCATATTGCTCCTAGTACTTTTAGCATTAAATGATGAGATTTTAAGAGCATTAAGAATATTTTGGACAGGTATTAGGATCACAATAACTAGTTTATTTTATCTCACTTATCTTATCCTCTAAGTTTGAGATTCTATCTTTCCATGCTTGTAAGTAGGATAATCCTGTATTATACCATTACTTTATCCCTTGATTTAGATAATTCTCAATATTTCTCAGATTTGAGTCATCCTCAAATTACGCAAATACACTTGCAAAGTTATCTCTCATTTATCCGGTTGAGATTATTGACGTGAATTTGAAATATGCTCTGAAAATACCATGGAAAGGATTACCGACTAGTGAAAATGTCATCTTTTGATTATCTATTTCAGCGGTTATCAATTATTGCATCTCCATAATTGAGACTACTCCTCTCATGCTAAACTTAATAAACTGATTATTGATATTCTCTATAGGTATCTGCATTTCAATCTTGGGAGCTCCAAAAGCATTCAAAATGGCCTTAGTACTGTCATCAAGAACCTCAATGTATTCTACTGGAGACAGAAATTTTATGTTTTCTTGAGATATTGAGAAAGAAGGAAGAACTATGGTAAAGTAGAGATATTTCTGATAATCAGGATCCATCACTATTCTGATGTTAGATGTTAATCCATGAAAATCAATTAGTCCATTGAAATTGAATGCCCCTGTAAGTTCTACTCCATTTATATAAACCTTTTTAGGATCATAAAACAAATCTACTTAATGATTGATAATAGGCTGATCTCTTATATTATCTGGAGTGATTGAAGTAAGTTTCTCTGCGATTCCAGAAAAGAAGATTTGATAGAATTGTTTAAGATTAATCAAATTAAGCTTTCCTTTGAAGTAGTTTTCTCTAAAATCATTTGGATTGACAATCATGTTTATATTTGCAGTCTCGCAGTTGTCTTTATTGATGAAAGTTTGATTTAGTAAAGCTAAGAGCTATTACTATGATTTTGTGCTGAATAAGGGAACTTTGTTTGAGTTATTGAATACTTCTGGTATTGAGGAAATCCTATAACAATTTGCTCCAAATACTCCTACTCCATTGATCTAGAGATCTGATAATTAACCTGATTGATCTATTTAAGATAGAATAGTCATCTACGTCATGTTAACCATGTTATTCAAGTTGAAGGCATTAACAAATATATCATTCATCTCTCCTTAGAGTCTTAATACTCCCTCATCAGTCAAAAATATTTTTGATTTGAACCTAAGAGTGCTATTTTACTATATTTCTCCTATGAATATACCAGATATAAATAGATCAATATCTGGATTCTCGATATCGTTGTAATTTATTCTCAGGTTCAAATAGCATTCATCTAAGAAGTATCTCTCATTGAATTTGATATCCTATAGTTCAGTTTTGAGTACAAATACTTTCTCAATTTTATTGATATCTCCTCTGAACTAGAATTCAAACATAGACCCATAATACTTTGTTAGTATCATACAAAACACATCAGCCTAGCAAAATTTTTTAAGCTCCATATTAATTCTAATCTGTATTCCTTTGTCTAGAAAGTCTTATCTTTAACCTAAAAGTTTGGCATAGTTACTCAACTCAATGTTGTTAGAAAGGATACTTAGACTTAAGATTTTAAATGCATTTATTTCAAGTTTATCTCTTCTGCAAAGATTTTGGAAATTAAATATATTCCACAAAGCTTCCAAGGCATAGCCTCCTGTATATGTTATTGTTGATGTGACAGCTAAATCCCCATCAAGACTTGTTTATATGGCCTCGAAATAAGAATCTTCTTTCTAAAACGTAGTCATAGTGCCTGTTATCTTCAAAACCCTTAAAGGCTTATATATGAGTTTGATATGAGGATCAGTGATTATACCGTGAGATTTGTTTAATCCGATTCTTTAATATAGAAATTCATAATTATCCTCAGAGGGGAATACTTATGAGTGAGGACTAATTGAAATGAACTTTGAAAATTCAAGCATTGTTTTTTTAATTGGTACGATATGAGAATTCTCAGGGAAGATCTTAGTCTCTTCAAGTACATTAATTTGATTATTTTCAAAGGCTTTCCTAATAATATTTGCATAATAGTTTTACTCATCAAAGGTAAAGAGACCATTAATGTTTAGATATGTTTAGGTCTGAGAAATATCACCATTATCTGCAAATACAATTTGCATATTCCCCGTCACTTTTCTTAGATAAATTTCTGGCATATTAGCAAAATTAGGCATGTCAAAGTTAATTGTCAAAAGCTGAATCTTATTAGTTGCATTCTAAACTTAAATCATTATGTGGTTGACTTAGGTACTAATGTAGTCATCTATTCCCTTGATGACTGGTTTTGTAATTGAGACTCCCATCTTTTGCATTGTGTAAATAAATTCGTTTAGAGTATGATTCTTATCCATGCCCAAAATGAAATGACGAGACTCATAAGATTGTTTCTGATTATCTTTAATCTGAAAAGGTAGATCTATTCCGGATTAGATAAAAGATAGTTGGCCTTCATAGAAATAAGAATCTGCTTAAGTATCAAGAGTTACTTGCTGGAGAATCATCTAAACTTAATCTTTCATTAGTTGTAGCACCTATGTACTCTAGTATTTTAGAATGATGTTTTAATTCAATAGCATATCGTCTTACAGATTCTTTTCATACTTGAAAATAACATAATCAAGAAAAGGTTTTTGAACCTTTTAAAATATTGAATCATCTCTAATAGGGAAAGAATGTTTTGAAACTTTCAAAATATCATCAATAGTCATTGATTTCCCAATTTAGTTTGTGGCAAAGCACATGTTAAAATCCTAAAAGCCCATATAGAACTGTCGTTTTGGAAATTGTTCTCTCAGCTTAGAAAATATTCTCATGAGACTGGATTCAATTATTACAGGAATATCTATCTCTACCCAATCAGTTTTAGATAAGTCATAAACTGTATCAAGTAAACAGCTGTGGCATAAATCTTTCAGTACCGTAATTTAATTTTATTCTTCAGTCATATTACTGCAATCTATTAAAGCAGTCTAATCTTAAATATATCTTGCTTGACTTTAGGACTTTACTTAACTCTTTATAACTCTATCATCTGTATTTGCAAATTAGGATCAATTTTAATTACCTTGATAATTTTAAACTGATACAGTGGATTATTCTTCATTTTCAGGATTTTATTACTAATCAAAATGTAATTGAAATTGATTCGTAACTTAGGCGGTGAATAATATCAGGAAAGTACTGATTAAAAGTGCATTGGCGGATGTTGGTTATAGTTTAACCATTTTATATTATCAAACAAACAAATTTTAATTGTTACTAATTTTAATTAAGTGTCTGTTAAAATTCAACTTTTTATTATGGGACTTTGATAATCTTTTTAATAATTAAAATCTGTTTGATTAATTCATGAACCAATACCCTAAAATAAATATATGATTTAAAAGCTATAACTTTTAAAATGTTTGATTGATTATATGTTTAAATTATAGTGTTTTTTATTTATTTTGGGAGTTTGATTAATAAGGAGTTAAAATTTGAATGCGACGTCACCATTGTAATCTAAATAAATAATTCTAATTTAATTATGAGCAGCAGCAAATTTGTCAGACTTCACGACCTCATGAATACTTGCGTTCACCTCTCTCAGAGAGCTACCAATGTGCTTAAGCAGCAAGTATACCATGAGAATAACTTTAACATAGTCTAGAAGGGTATGTGCGCAAACGATGTCTACACAGAGCTTGATCTTCAAATTCAGAAGACCATTCATTATAATTTGAAGTAACTCTACCCAAGAGCAAAAATTATTTGTGAGGAGGAAGAAAGTTCAATTGATGAAAACATTAAACCTTCAATCATGCCTGATGAGCTATTGAGAATGAGAAATAAACAGAAAATTTTTAGTGCTGATATATTACTCAATTCTGCTTCTGTCCGCAGACTCTAATACTTGAAATACTTGGAAGATCTATTAAGCTTCAATTACGATTTCCTTCGTGCTGATGATGTCAAGAGAGGTCTAGATGATATTTATAACAATGAGGTACTTGAAAAGGACCTGACTTTCTGGATTGATCCCCTGGATGGCTCAAAGGGATTAGTTGAAGGACATACTGAACATATCACGACAATTATTGGAGTCTGCATTAAAAACAGACCTATATTAGGTATTGTTCATAAACCCTTTAGTGGAGATGCCCTTTCATTTCAATCGGGTAAGAGTTATGTGGGCCTTCCCTAGTGTGGTTTATTTACAGTCCTATAGAAGATTTAGACTGATTTTGAGAATTTTGAGAACTTTACTTTACACGTTCCACCTTTCTCAAGAGATGAAAACATAGATCGTCATTTATTCTAGCCAAAAATTTGCGGGTCTCACAACAGAAACCAAGATGAAATGGATAAGCTAATTTATGCAACTAATCCTTAAAGGATTGAAAGAGTTGCGGGCTCAGCCAACAAATTTGTGCATATGGTCGAGGGGTAATCTGATTTCTACATGAACTTTGTTCCTGGCTTCAAATTTTGGGATATGTGCGGTTCAGAGGCCATACTTGCCTCTCGTTTTGGAATCCTAACTGATGCTTAAAAAAGACCAATATTCTATGAACCAAATATGCACCCCACTATAAAGGATGGATTAATAGCTGCTAAAAATAAATCTATTTATAAACTCTGTGAACACAGGATAGAGAGATTCACAAGAATGTCTCTTGAGCAAAATCATCAGAGAATCCAATTATAAGCCTTAGAATCCAAAAGAATAAGGCAAGAGCTTTAAGAATTAGATTAATAACAATAAAATATTAAATCATTAATTTGAGAGAGTGACATTGAGAGGTCACTACAAAAACCAACTCTCACCTTCTACTATTAAGAGAATACTTATATCAAAGCTAAGTAACTTTATTAATCAATCATACGACGTAATCATAATAATTAGAATATAATTAATACTTCATTCTTATTTCTCTTACGTATTCTCTTAATTATCCAAAATCCTAATTATGTGGGGTTTTGGGGTTTTGGGGTTTTGGGG